GTTAGCTCGGTTAACTTAGTTCGCGATGTGAACCGAAGAATTAACAGATGCCCCGGATACGTGTGCTAAGTTAGTTTAGCTTCGTTCGTGGTAGGTATGGCCTGCGTTTTATAGCACATTTTAATTACATTTTAGGATATTTTTTGTCCCCTGGAATTCATTAGTTCACTTTATTTAATTACATATTAAATTAAATAAATAAATATTTGTTCGTGAAATGTCGCGGGATTATTTAGTCAACTGTCATATTTTTACGGTTAAATGTCATGAGATTGTAGTATACCTATTTTAAAAATGAAACAACACATTTCAATGTAATGAATAACATTTAATAAATAGATCGTTAATATAATGCTAATACAAAAATAACAGGCGAAGTATAAAACTTTCACTTAAAAATACACCTTAGTAATACAGGTTCACGTGTAATTTTTGATCAAATAGTTTGCTATGACATAAGATCGGCAAGGTAGAGTCTAGATTGGAGAAAACCACAGAAGAAATAAAATAGAGTGTACAATTGAGTAGTCAATTTGATTAATAATAAATTTATCATTAATAACAAAAAAATGCTCAGACGTATTGCAAGCTCGATTTTTGTGAAAAAATTGAGAATATTTTTGCATCAATTTTTGATCACTGTATATAAAGATCCCTATTAGATCCTTATTGGTAAGGGCCGACTTAGGCGTACTTATCACGATCAAAAGAAGGACATCCTAAAGAAAGATCAGGTCAAGAGTACGCTTAAATGACGAGCGTGTATGAAAACATTCCATTATTCCCACTAGTTCTGTCGTACAGTCCTGTTGACAGAACTACGGGTACTTTTTCCCATTTTTCTGTTAATAAATAGACAGTTTTCTTGACAGAACTACTGAGAATTTTCTCTCCCACTAGTTCTGATGTACAGTTCTGTTGACTATGGATACTTTTTTTTCCTATTTGTTCTGTTAATAAATAGACAGTTTTCCTCACAAAATTACTGAGAATTTTCTATCCCACTGATTCTGTGTATGAGTTTTCAGTCTAGAGTGTAATACGTGTTAATGAGGCGCAAGATATGTGGCAAGTGGAAAGCTGTGGTCTCTGACATCCGGACACCCATGGGAAAAAGGCACTTTTAACATAACAACTATCTAATTACACAATTTTGCTCTCCGCAGCCGGCTTTTGATTCCACTACTCGAGTGATTCCTGGAGTAGTGGATCAAAAACTCCCTCTTAATATGAGGAAGACATGTTTTGCTAAGGGTAAATTACGCCTTACGTGTAGACACATGTGTGTATGCTTTGAATAAATTTAAAAAAACTGTAAAGACGGCTGCACATCACGCTACACATTAACAGATCTTGTTCCGTTGCACGAGGCGATATTCAACCAAAAGTATAGCTTGATGTACTGTTGACTGTACCTATTAATATATTTAGTAAAGAACATGGTATATAAAATTCTTAAAATTCTTTTTTAAATCTAGATTCTACCTTGTGTTACATTTTCTTTGGGCAATGTTTAGACATTAAAACATCCAGTTTTTGTTCGTAATTAGAATTACACACAAAAGTATCTAGGGACCAAGCATGTTTTTGCCAATTAGTGCAAATCAGGCTTTTAAATAATTTTTTAAACACCGATTTTTAAAACACCGGTTTTTTTTTCATATATTGAATTTTAAAATGAAATCGACCAAAAAAAAAATTTTTTTTATTGAATTGATATTCAATCATTTTTTGTGAAATTATTCCACTAGTTTGTTAAATTATTAATACAAAGATCTAGAAAAAGTCCTTCGATCGGCCGGATTCGAACCGACGTCTTTTAGCAAACCGTACCAGACGCTATGCTAACTAAGCCACGGAATGAACCGGCGGACCTCTCTATGTGCTTGTTTTGTCGGATCTTTGTATTTAGTTTTCAACGACCTTTTAGACGTAGCGCCATCTATGAGAAATCTACGAAAGTATTTCATCACTCAGTTAGATACAGCTACCAGCACCGACTCGAGAACATCAATTCAGTAAAAATTTTAATACAGTTAATAGCGACTCTTGTTATTTTATTTCAAATATAATTTTTTGATTGACAATTTAAATGCATTTAGAGTGTAATTAGAATAATACTTCAAAGTCAATCACATTATTTAATTTTTAAATAATCAATATACCAGGCATTCGCCACAATTACCTAGTTATAAACTAGGAAATAATCTATGCCCTGCCAACTAGAGTATACCAACGAAGGTGTAACCCAGAACAACCAAAATCGAACTTTATTCAATATATTTCCTAAATTCTACCGGAACTCGTACCCAAGGCGTTCAACGTGATGGTTTCCCGTTGAGTCATAGAGGCCATCCTTATATTCTTATTTAATTTCTTTCGTAACATTTATGTATAATAATGATAAAAGTGTAAATGTAATCGTAATACTATTTACAAAGAGATTTTATATATAAGTCTTTTTCAAATTCACGTAATTAGTGTAATAATATCAGTGATCGGTACTGAGCGAGTTAACTTAGTTAAACTAAAGACTAACGTGGAAATTCCCTTCTATAAATCCCGGGACTTTTTCGAACTGATTATGTTTAAATATGCGTATCATTTATTGAAATTTGAGTACATTGGCGACAAAATTATTATTTCCTATTAAGCATTTGCTACAAATCATTGTCTCAAAAAAATGATATTTTTTGAAGACGGAGTAAAATGACATTTGCAGGGTGGCCGGTTTTCATAAAATAGTTATGTGGTTGTCGTCGATAGTTTTATCGATACATTGTGAAAGACTGTAAAATTTTGCCAAAAATGTCTGATTTACGAATGTTACACCATTCTAAAGACTACTAATTGCGTTATTGCCCTCATTATTCTTATTTTGAACTGTCAAAATAAGAACCTACTAGTATCAAAATCAATTTTTATTCATATATATTTTATTAAGAACAGGCGGATTCTATAATTAATTAAGGTGAAAAAGTGAAAATATGTCTCTTCTTTGCATTTTTAACAGACATAGTTCTAAATGCAATGTATGTATTTAATTGACAATTCAAATGAACATGATGAGTCAAATGAAACAAGTTCAGCTATAAGCATGCATAAGCGTGACCAACATTCAGTCGATAGTCGATAGAATACTTATCGACTGCGATCACTAGCTACTTGCAAACGGGCAGCACTTTTGCGGTGTCTTAAAAAAAGACATACTATAGTTGCTTCTGTAGGTACTAACGTATTGGAATACTTTAACCATTTAAAAAATATACATGAGACAATTCATATTTGCGATTTTAGAAAATAAACAGTGTAAAACTAATTTTGTACGCATTGATGACGAAATGGGCATGTCCATACTAAGAACACGTTCAGACTTTAAGTACATTAACCCCCTCGATTCCGCTCACTCACTATTAATTATAATGATAATGTGCCACAACCACACCGATTACCTGGTCACAAATTAGAGAATTTCCTATGAGTATCAGAGCAACAGAATCCACCCCGGTGTACTCCAAAACATCAGAATAAATTAGAAAGTTAATTCCCCAATTAGTCCTACCGGGAATTGGGACCTCCTCATTCAGCGCTCACATTTTAAACCGTTGCACCAGTATTGTTGTAAAAAGAATTAATATCTAGACTATACAGCGTGATTACACAAAGCGCCCTTTAGCAGCGATGCAATTACGCGTTTGTATCGATGCAGTCGCGCGTTTGTATCGATGCAGTCGCGCGGTTGCATCGCGTTAAGACGATTGGCGACTGCATCGCGTTTGTATCTCTGATAAAGGTCGCAGTGTGTAATCGCTCTTAGTGATTATCTTTTGCCGAATAATCGACAATTAGTTATTGGTAATGAAAAAAAATCCTAGCAGAATTCGAACTACAATGTGGGTATAGCGGTAGTAGCTCAGTGGTAAAGAGCGGTCGCTTCCAAATTGAGAGGCTAACGGTTTGAATCCACGTACAAATCACTTTCAAGTTACTTACATGTGTGAATATTTAATAGCAATATCCAATAATTCTCACTAACGGAGAAGAACAATATTTCTGTAGGTGAGAGGTAAAGATACTGAAGTGTCAAATAGTAATTTTTCCTATACAGCATTTTATTAATTACGCATTTAAAATCAATCTAAAACAAACGACAATACAACTGTATGTCGTTTACAATTGCGTGATTTTTAGCATACTAAAGCAATGTTTGTAAACACATATAAATTCTAAAACATGGACCTTAAGGTCCTTTACCTCTCAATTGCAGATTATTAAAGTTCATTCTTAAAAGTGCAAAGAATGAACAGGTTCAATTGACAAGAATATAATATCGTCGGTTAAAAGGGAAATTTCATTAAGTGTAATTATGATCAAAAAATAGGTTATTCTATTTTCGTTTTGGAATTCGGTAAAACATCTGCAAGGAAAGTCTGTACAAAATACTTAAAACATGTTTGCAAATTGTTTTAATATATACGAGCTCTTTAATGATTTTTTCCATAGAGAAAAAACACAAAATCTTAATTATCTCTATTATAGTCCATTTGTTTAGGTACTTAACTAAATGTAAACAATCCTGAGATGTCTATTTAATGAAATATACACTTATATAATGTATTTTAGTTACCTTCAAATACAAAATACAAATACATAGTTCATATGAAATTGCATGCCTATTTTTATACCTATTGATTTGTAAAGTATATGTTTCAATAAAAAAATGTATAAAGATTGTTCACATTTATTTAAGTACCTAAACAAATAGACTATGGATATTTACTTTTTACTGAGTTTTACCTTTAAACCGACAATACATAGTCGTTGTTTCATAGAAAGGGCGACATTTCAATTTTTTTTTTCCGGGAAGTTCTAGGTTTTAACAACTGTTCTAAAATATTTACGTCCTGTTTTCAAAATCAATTTTGGTTTTAATTAAGTTTAATTTTTAAAACAGTCGTGAAAACATAAACGCTCTTGCGGCGAGCTCGTTACATCGTAGATCATATCTTTGCTTCAGAGCTAGGTAGCGGTCAAGAGCAAGTCCATTTCATTTAAAAATAAATAAAACGTGCTCACCTGAAAAATGTTTTGAAATGGCGATTACGCCCTTTCTATTAAACTCCGATGATATTATTACGTTGTAAGTGAAACAAAGTCTTGTTTAACAAACTACCGTGTTTCATTTGTCCTAATAGACCTATGGGCAAAATTATGTCGTTGCTTATAGCCACTCGATAAAAAGTTATATTCAAACTGACTTAACAGGATGTGAACTGTTGCAAGCCTAGTCGTTTAACAGACTCGTGCGCAACTCGTACGCGCACGTCTCACGCGTTTTATTGCACTTTTAAAACTAACAAACATTTCAGTTCCTCCTTGCGCTATGATTTTGAGAATTTAAAAACTCCTGGCGTGCTCTTCTTTTGCGGCTTACTTTCTGCCACCTAGAAAAAAAATTATATTTACTAAATTTGTCAGCAGATATCGCCTACATCAAATCGTAAAAGAAAAATATCAAGTAGGTACCTCTCTACGAGAATAGGCCACTTCCACACAATTCCCCATCTTTCTATCCTTTGCTTTGGCCGAAGAAATTAAAAACATTAAAAAATAAAAAGAAATAAAAAATAAAAATCACAAAAAAATAAAAAAGCGTCTTCTTGAACAAAACATCATAAGGAAACCTGCATTCAAAGATTCCACAATGCGCCAAGGTGGGCCAAGTCGTGGCACTATTAATTCTCATACAATATCTGGAAGCAGTCGTCAGCGGTACTATGGTGACATGCGCGCGCCACTTTTGCGGTAACAATAAGTGAAGTAAGACCTAACGTGCGGCTCCCGGACCACTGCAGGGCTTCTATAAGCGTCTAATTTAAAAGCGCCCTTAGTACGAACAATATTTTCGACTCAATGTAGTTAATTACCACCAATTATCTGATAATTAGAAAAGAAAGCTTAAATACCCACTACCCGCTGCTAGGCCGTTATAAAAAAAGGTAGCTTTGCTTTACGTGCTAATAGAGAAAGCAAAAAAAAAAAATGTTAAATTGTGTTCTTCGTTGACCTGTTAACTTTTGTAACGGACTTAAATTGTTTAATAGTAAATTAATACTCACAGTCCGTTCTCCTAATAGCAACCTGGCCTTATCCTCTTCGTGTGGCTCAGGCGCAGCCGCCGCACGCCTGTGCAGCTGCAGCTTTTGTCTGATCGTTTGAGATAGGATCTCTCTGCATAAAATAGGAAACTAATTACATCACTATTCTATAGCACTAAAACCAGTAACACTTTTTCTTTAAGGTTTTACGACTTATTTTTACATTATATAAATACAATTTATGAACCCTTTCTGAAATAAATTATTATGATTATTATTATTATACTAAAAACAAGCTAAAAGTAATTTATCCCTAATGCATATGTCTCTCGTTATCAATACTAAAACTTTAGATTTAATTTTAATTAAATTTTTCATTGAATTGATATTCAATTATTTTTTGTGAAATTACTCGACTAGTTTGTTGTAATTATTAATACAAAGATCGAACACGCCCAACGAATCTGCCCAACGCCAAATTTAACATCTTAAATTAGCTATGTATGTGACATGCAATAAATGAATTATTATTATTATTAACACTTAGATAAAATTCCTTCGATCCGGCCGAATTTGAAACGTCTTCTAGCAAACCGTGCCAGACACTATGCCAACTTAGCCACATAACAAACCAGCGGACCTCACAAATTTTTCAATGAGCTTGTTGTAAGATCTTTGCATTTGGTTTTCAACGACTTTTTAGCCGTAATGCCACCTATGAGAAATCTATGAAAGTTCGAAGAAATCTATGGAACTACGGAAATGAAAGTATTTTTTCGTAAGGTTAGGTCATCAACAAGGTATGTATAATATTATTACCACCCTGTTCTGAATTCCGAACTATAGTTACAAAAAATAAAACATCGAACACTAAGAAAAAATCCTTCTATCTTTGTATTAATAATTATAACAAACTAGGAGAGTAATTTCACAAAAAATAATTGAATATCATGGTGAAACATGTGACATTCAACAAAAACTTAAAAAATACAGTTATTAAAGGACATCTCTAGTCAGCTGCTGGTAGCTGTAAAGGTTGAGTGTAGAAATAGATTTCTCAACGATGGGGCTACGGCAAAAAAGTCGTTAAAAATCAGCATGGACCACTCAAAAGGACTGATAATCGCAATACAAGACAGCATAGTCGGGTATTTAGTACCTATTGGTACATCAGATGTCGCAACGAGTACATTAAATTGCTTGACATTGACAAGCTGCAATTTTTCAAAACTAATCTAATTTCTAGTGATAACAAACAAATCAACTAGTTGGCGCTTATGGCATAGATTTTTATGGATAGTGCCAGTTATTCTTTTATTTTGTTTTAGTTAGTTAGGATTAGCGCCATCTACCCATAACCGAAAGCGTTAATTTGTAAATTTGTTTCGAACACACAATGCCATCTATTGACATGCATATTTCGTCGCTTAAGCGAGAGGCGACCACAGTTTTCGACATATTTTTTAACATTTTAATATTGTTTTATTTTTCATGTATTTATGCTCAAAAATGCGTATTTTAGGCTCTATAAATTTGTAAACACATACACAACTCGCAAAAGGACTGTTGAGCTCAAAACTTAGCCACGAAAGTGCGGTTTAATTCCGTTGTTTATAATGCCAAATCGCTAGGTGTCTTCGTGTAGTATTAAAGTTGGACCCTTTTCTAAACACATTTTTGCAATAAAAATATTTTTGAAATTTTTTGTGATGCGGCGGTTTAGCATTTAAGGGACGATTTGTCAAAGTTCACAAATAAATTTTAGTTCATGATTTGAATAATGTTACAAGGACAAAAATTGACTTCTCATATTTCTTATAATATGTATACATATAAAGAAGAATTTGTTGATATTCACAACCAATTGCACAATATTAAGTACTTCCAGGTTATTGATAAGCACCGTCTAGATATACCGAATTTTAACCGCAGATTAAGCTCTGCTGCATACGTAGTCCGTAGAATACGTGAGCTTGCCGATGTAGCTACTGCTAGACTAGTTTACTTCAGTTACTTCCATAATATAATGTCCTACGGGATTCTCATGTGGGGTAAAGCGGCAGATATACAAACCATATTTGTGTTGCAAAAACGAGCGATTTGTTCTGTATACCGTTTAGGTTCTAAGGTTTCTCTCAGAGATAAGTTCAAGGAGACTGCTATCATGACTGTGGCTGATGCCACACTGTAGTCAGTACATATACTCAAATATTTTGTATGTCCGTAAAAAACTACATAATTTCGTTAAGAAAGAAGATATCGATAATATTAACCTTAGAACTAAGTCCAAACTCATGGTACAACGATTTCGTTTAACTAAGGTAAACGATTCTTTTATACGTTTCGCAATAAGATTCCGGAGAATATATTAAGATTATCATTTCCTAAGTTTAAAACTTTAAAAAAAAAAGTATTTTCATTGAAAAGTCATTATTACAAAATTGAAGTATGTTCTAGATGAAGAAGTATGGAAAGACAACAAGAGTCTAAATTCCCCACAATTATTATTCAAAGTGTATTCCATAGCATTTAAGTTTATTTAAAAAGAGCAAGCCCTAGTTTCTTGCTCGTTCTTCTCAGTGAGGTCAGCGTAGTGAACGAGCAGTAGCTTAAAAAATGACGTTTTCAAGTTTGACTTTGACTTTAACCTTTTCAGTTACGATCTGTAATGGAGATTGACAATTCTCTTGAGTTATTGAGCCATGGTTTCAGTGAATTCATAGAGACCTGAACCAAACACATAACTGTACACAAAACATAGCAACGTTATTTTTCAAAGTATCAATAGCAGCTGTCAGTTTTTGTTATCTCTAATTGATCATCCGACTATAATCACAGACAGGTTATAAAAATAACCAACGAGAGTGAAAGAGACAAACAGAATGGGAGTATAGAACCATTCATCCAACTATCTTTATAAAAGTGTTTACCTTCTGGTATCAGTCTTGGTAGCTAAAAGTAAATCCAACCAAGTCCAAGTAACGTTATGGTACTCCAACGTAGGCAGCACCAAGGGTATATCTCGTACATCCTCTAGATTCTTCTCCTTACTGCCCTTGTATGAAACTCGTACTGGCACTTCCGGGATCTTTATATAGATGAATAGCTTGTTCTTCTCTGCTCGCTCCTGTCGGTTTAAGACCATTATTTGTAAGAGTGATGGTGCTTTGACAAATAGGGTAGGCACGCACGTTAGATACAAAAAACAGCGTACTCCAAGAAGTCAATAGTTACCATCCGTAAGTAAGCGAACATAAAAGGACATCGGGACCATTTTTCTTCAAAAATAGTTGACGAGTTAGGTAGTCTGCAGAATGTTCTGTTAGTTACCATATTATTGTAATGTCACCGGATTTCCATAATATCGCACTGCTTTTACAATAGTGTTGTATCTCAAAATATGTGAAATTGAAGATTATACTCTTGCTGAACGTAAAATTTTATTCTCTACACGTGAATAAAACCGTCGTTAGAATATTGTAAGAAACAATTAAAGCATAATGTCGTCTACTTAAGGGAAAACTACATAAGTTAAATTTTCCACAAAAAGTCTTTAATTTATATAGCTATGGTAAGAAAATCACTATCTTTCTGCACGTGAAGCTCAATAACAAAAAGCCATAAACTTAATAAGAGTTTTATCTGCAGAAAGATGGTGAATTTCTTACAACTGGTAGATAATTTGGAGATTTTTTGTGGAAAATGTCACTTATGTGGTTTTACCTTTATGCAGACGATATCTACTTAACTCAAATTGAGACAAACTTTTCGTGAGCTAGTACTGGACAAAACAGTCCTTAATCAAAAATATTACATTACAATGAATATTACATTTTTTCCTTTTTATTTGTAAATATATTTGGCAAGTAGGAAATTATTTAGATGTCTGTATTAAACTTTAACTTATACATACATTTTAATAACCTTTCACAAGAAGCGAGTAATTCGTTTTCAATTCATTCTAAAAAAATACACTTTTTGAGTTAATACACTATTGTATTAATTGTGCGATATATCAAATTTAAAGTCGGTCGATGTAAATCAAATAAATATTCGTTTAATGACAGAACCCAGAGATAGAGATAGAGACACGAAATATGAAAAGAGCTGATGGTTTTTTAACAACTGAAACAAATAATCAATCATAGCCGGGAAACAATATTAGTGGCAGAAGAGCTCCTTGTGAAAGAGTTCGTCCAGGAAAGTACTGCTACCTTACCTACTTCTGCCTCCAAGCAGTAATGTGAGCGTTACTGCGTTCCGGTTGAAGGGTAAGGGTGCTGGTGAAATTACAGGCCCATGGGACAGTACTCATAAAATCTGTGATATTCAAAGCTCTGAATGGCACTGCAACTGTTATGGACAGGCGTGTCGCTTACCACCAGGCGCACGACTTGTTCGTCCCGTCACTCGATATTATATTTTTTTTTAAATCATCCCGATTAAATAAATGAAAACCGCTTTGAGATGAGTCCCACCCATTTAGAAGCTACGATGCCACAGACAGCAACACAAATATATAGACATAAGCTTCAAACTTATAACTACCCTCTATTTGCGACAGAGTTTCAAAAAATACACATTCAATATACAAATCATAATAATAGACAAAGTATTGATAATCTTTAATGTTAGTAATAAATATTACGTTTCATTTTTATACTATTTTTATACTTAAAAAAAACATTATAATAACGTTTCCAATTTCGTATGGCGATCTTTTCTTTCATTGATATACCATGTTCAAATAAAAGATAGTGTGGATAAACATCTAAAAGCTTACTATACCTTCATTTTCTCAACATCATCTTTATCCTTCTTATCCCTCTTCACATAGAAGTTGGAGTTAGAGTCTTTTCCTTTCTTCTTGGTCTTCTTAGATCCCGCTGTGACCAGACTAGCGGTGCTGGCCCCAGCCTTAAGAGTGCCTTCCTCCTCATCTCCATCTTCGATAGAATCAGGGTCGCGCTCCGGGAAACAGAACTTGAGCATTGTGTTGAAGAACTTCTTTGTTAAACCTGTAGAGAACAAAGCTTTTATGCTTGACATGATTATGACGACATGGGTACTGGCTTATACGCCAAGCATTTTAGCCACATTTATACTAATTTCAGGGTGCTAGTCGTTACTAATCATACAACAGGCCTCTGCTTCTACTTCCGCACGCTTTTTCATATCTTTTTCCGTTTCTGCTTCCGCAAAATTTATAACAGAACTTTAATCGGAAGTTTACAACATTCGCGACGGATCAGACCCTGGTGCGGATTACTAGGCGGTGAGGCTCACATTTTTTAGTAATTATGTTGTGTAATAAATGAAATTGGGAATTAAATTAATTGAATCACTTAAATTATGAAACCAAAAACAAGCCTTGTTGGGAACTATTTTGTTGAATTCTCTATAGTATTTACACTTCCGCTTCCACATCCGCTTTTGTTTCCGTTTCTGCTAAGATTTACTTTTGACATCTGTTTCCGTTTCTGTTTCCATTATGACAGTTTCGTTGCATCACTAGTCATAACTCTTCACTCATGTAACACTACGATTAACTTGTTCAGCACTTAAAGCTTTGTACAGGGCTTTATTTCTCCACGCTGTCTTCGCTTCTGCATCTATTACACGTGCAGTCAGTATACGTGCTTGAACGCTATTCAAAGTCCCGAAGTCTATTTATGGGATGTCTGACAACAAGATAGGTAGACGACTCATAAAAATGTCGTGAATATATCGTCGGTGTTTTATAGAAAGGGCGAAAGCGCCATTTCGACCGCCACATTTCATCGAGTGGCTATAAGTAACTACATAATTTTGCTTAGCGGTCTATTCGGACAAACGAAACAGGGTAGTTTGATAAACAAGAGTTTGTTTCACTTTCAACGTAATAATATTATCAAAGGGAGTTTTCACGACAGTTATAAAATATTAGCGTCCTATTTGAAATTCAATTTTAAAACTGAAACTTAATAAAAGCCCAAAAAATAAATTTTAAAACAGGACGTAAATATTTTAAAACAGTCGTTAAAACCTAAAAATTGCTCTCTTTAATTTTTTCCAAAAGTGCGCCTTTCCCCCTATCTAGAAAACACCGACGATATAATAATGTTAATTGTGGAGGCGTTCCTACAAGAAAAACATGAAGATGAAGTAGAGAAACGGCGAATCTAATAAGTCGATCGACCTTATAATTAGTTATAGTTCCCTCCACATTTAATTGTGGATGGAAATACAAACGGCAAGTGAGATATTGATGAAAGGTACAGGAACGTACCGATCCGGATGGGCACGATGTTAACCTCGAAGTGCTCTTTGACGGAGATGCCTCCAACGGGCGGGCGATCACGGCAGAACACACGCAGCGCCGCTCGCCGAGCCACCGGGGCGCGTCCTGATGGCGCCTGCGGCACCAGGACCTGCTCGTGCAAGGTTTAGGGCGTTGGTTTTTGTTTGTTATTATCAATAAATAAATAGGACTTAGGACAGGATTTGCAACAATAGTTCCGAAATTTACCGCTAGATGGCATTGGCATAGAAAATACAATATCTGAATTTCGATGTTAACTTTTTTTTATATTAGTGGCTTTGCCTTCGCATTTAGCCAATGAAAGGGTTTTGAAAGCAGAATTACAGATTATGGAAGTGGTATGAAATTTGGATGAAGCAGGGTTGGGAAGGTGGGTAGCTATTATATATAAAAGTTGATATTATAATGTTCAATAAATAAGGCCAGAATATTGTAAACATCTTTCTTGCAAAAATATAATAAACTTGTTATGGAGGTGGGGAGTGCGACACTAATTGCCAGGAGTTCGGATATGAAAGTATCGTGGTCAATTGAGGGGCAGGAGAAGAAGATATGATTTAGATCCCCATAGGTCCCGCATGAACATGCAGGGTCAGGAACAATTTTGTGGGCAGGAGTTGTCACGTGACCAAGTCGTAGTCTACAAATAATGGAGGTACTTTTGATGTTAAGATTTTCCCTAGTGTAATGTGTAATGTAAACCTGTCACTAGTATTTTGTATGAAACTGATCTATTCTTCTACTTGTATATAGTTATCTGTGATCTGTCCAACGGCAGCATTTCTACGGTTATCCTCATTACTAAGGAATAATTTCGAACTCTCGCCCATATTTCGGGACAAGTTACGAGAACACCTCAGAATGAGTGTCTTTTTGCACCCACCGGAATTTGTATTGATAAATCACGTTATCTTCGCCGAATTCCATTCCATTGTTTGATTCCTGGATGTGGTAAGGGGGCACCAGCTAGCCGAGCAAACCTCTACACCCCCTCCTCTGTAGTAGGACTTTATTTATCACACATATGTATATAGATAATTGAATTTAGACTATTCATATTCCCTGTACATCTAGCGCACCCTAGGCAACAATCAGCGAGAATCTTACACCAATTGCCAAATCTTTTCATCACGATGGCACACATGTCCCACAGTTCGATACGATAAGGAAAAAGGACAAAATAATTCTTAGTTGTGGAGTTAGTTTAGATATTATTTGTTATTCTTAGCTAAGGTTATATTAGCAATATTTATTAAATACGGTCAATTAAAATCAGATTAGTTTCGAATTTCATCTACGTTAGCCTATACAGTACAACTTTTTTACATACAACATATATACATAACCTTAGTACAGAGTACTAAAAACCGACCTCAAAAGTCATTCATCCCTAGTTTGCCACCCTTAGAGGTGAAATATTTTCTTCAAATTGAAATGGGACCACTCCTGAAGTGTCTTCTTTCCAACAAAAAAAGAATCCTCAAAATCGGTTCACGAAAGCTGAAGTTATCGCGTAACATGCATACAAAAAAACATACAATCTAATTGTGAACCTCCTCCTTTTTTGAAGTCGGTTGTAAATATGGCAATAAGTAAATAAATTTAATTTCCGGTTTTCCGGTTTAGCATCATCCCCTAGTTCAGTAAATATTGACCTTCAAAACGGTCTATTAGAACCCCTGCAATTTCCAAATAAGACTCGCTAATAATTTTGTAAAAAAAATCATCAGGTATTTTTTTTAAAACTGACAAAATCACTCATTAATATTATCATTAATTCATTCATTCGTTCATCCACTCAGCCATTCATTTATTAACGTAATTAATTACCTCCGGGAAAGGCTCGTTGGGGAGCAAGTTTGTAACTCTTACATAACCAACTTCCAATTGATGCTCTACAGAATCGTCCGACCGCGAGGTTTTCGTGTACCTGTTGTAAAATAACGAAGGGTTATATGAGTAAAGAAACATAATCTGCAGATTGTTGACGAAAGAATTAGTGATATTATAGAATGTGGGTAGTGGAAATGAGTTCAAATGTGTAAGTAATTTTGTGAAAATGTTCAACTAATGTCTGCCTTTTTTTTAAGATGGAGTAAAATGGCAGTTCATTGCGTAAAAGTGTTGCCCGCTTGCAAGCACTTAGTGATTTATATCGATTATCGACTCAATGTTGGTTACGCTTATGAATAAATAGTCAAACTTGTTTCATTTGAATCATCATCCGCACATTATTCGCCCAACTGTTGGGCACAAGTTCATTTGAATTGATTATTTTGAAGATTCATACACTACATTTAGCAGCATGTGTATAAAAAATACAATGTCGTTATTAAAATGTGTATGACTAAAAATTTATTTCGATACTAATACCAATAGACCAATTGTCAAAATAAAATAAAGAATACAATAATGTAATTGATAATCATTAGAACGTCCCATCATTCACAATTCAGACATTTTTGGCAAAATTTTATCTACTTTAACAATCTATCTATAGAAATGTCGACAACAACCACATGACTATTTACAATTTTACTAAAACTGACAGCCCTGCAAATTTCATTGTACTCAATCATAAAAAAAGCAAACTATAGATCTAACGGCAAGTCACTCCGTAAAACTTAGCTCGATTAGATGACAGGTCAGTTAAAAAGAAAGTTTAGTTCAAGCGTTATTTTGATGGTGTCGTGGTAAGGCGGCGCCAGAGGCGGGAAAGCGAGAGACGCACAGGAAGTTGGTGAGCAGCAGGTCGGCGATGCCCAGCTGGCCGTCGGCGTCGGTGAGGCGCCAGCGCGCCGACTTGAAGCAGATCTCGTTGTAGCGGTGCGGGGGGGCGTAAGCCGAGCGGGGCGCGGGGGCGGGGCCGCGCGCCTGCTGGCACGCCTCCCGCCACGCGCGCACCATGGCGTCCAGCTCCTCGCCCAGAGACCACACCGTCTCCTTGCACTCGTTCACCTGAGACGTTCTTTCTCCACTCAGAGTCCAAGTCAAGTAACCAGAAACATCTCAGTCATTCTCGGAGTACACTCCGTTCAACCATTTATTTTACTTTTGACAGTTCGAATTCCAATCAATTAGTGATGTCCTAATACGTTTCCGAATCGATTTTTTATAACAATCGATTTTATTTATGAAGAATTTTTAATCGCTGGTCCAAAAAAGAAGATATTGTCTGATTTAGATTGTGATGTTGCGTTTAACAATTTGTGTACTCAAGAATCAGTAATTAATGTCAATGAGGTTTCAAGTGATGATTACCATTCATATGGAGAAGAACCCGACGATTCATTATAATAAACAATAAAAATATATTTATTATTATAATTTATTAGACAGGTACTAAAATTTATCAACTTGAATAATCTTCGTTACATAATCTATTGGCTTGATAAATATCGGATAAATAAATAATATAAATATCGTGTAATTATTAAACAATATTTTACAATACAGCACTCGAATATGAAATAATTTTGCAGCAATGTAGCTATCCGAGAATGACCGATCTACATCTCCCAAGAGGCTTACAAAGAGCACGCGGATTGCGGCCGTTGTATGGAATATTCAACTCTCAGTTAATGATGTACGAAATTAAAAGTAATCATCAAGCTTTCTTGCAATTCAAATCTTTATTTCGAACAAAAATCCACGGCGTGTTAGTAAAGTTTTTAACATCTCACAGCATCAACACTTTTATCATACCTGATCGTCAAGCGCTGTTAGTTCAGCAATAGCAACGGGGTCGTCCATGACAAGACTTCTTTTCTTCAAATAATACTCCTTCTCCAGTCGCCGTAGACGCGCTAACGACTCCCGAACCTAAACACATAACAATCGTAATATTAAGTTTATTAAATATCCCAATATTTTACTACCACGATATGTAATTGAAGAAGAAGAAGAAGAAGAAGAAGAAGAAGCACACAATATCACGTCACATCGCATAATAGTGAGAGATTCATACAGGCTCATAGCGTATAATGAAGTGGTCTCGTCTACCCATCTCGCTCTAACATACGTGTATACTACACTTGCATTGCCAATCTATGGGTACCTATATACTAAATCTATGGGCTATCTAGTACATTTTAATTTGCCTTATCGTTATTAATACCGGTTATAGGCATGTTCCTACTGTTGGTCGTTTTCTTATTCTTGTAGTAGGTTTTATTTATTTTGTAGCAGTTTGCAGCAGACAAGTGTTACCTGCGTCTGCAGCTGGTGTATGAGGTGCCGGGGATCCTGGTCCTGGTGCAGCTGCAGCTGGAAGCGCATGCGCGCGCGTCGCTCTAGCGTGCGACGGCGTTCTGGTTCCACGTGCAGCACTACGTTGTTTACTACGTCCAGCAGCATCGCGTACTGAGGCACCAAGTAGAGATAAGTTAGTATACTTAGCTATAAACATGGTACTGTAGTCTAGGCTCTACTCTATGAGTAGAATCACTGGCTGAATAAATAGTTTTGTAATTAGAATGTGTTTTGAAAAATGAAGTAAGAAAACAATGGAGCATCTTGAGATAACGAAATATAACCAAACACTGAAAGTATGTTAAAAAGTGCAATAAAGTAAATTTTGAAGATTATTCCAGTTTCAATTCATAAAAGTACCTCTCGCTACGCAATCCGAGCTACGTCCCAGTTACAGTACTTACCATGGTTACATTTTTATGTCACATTGTACAGCGCCTCTGGCGGCCACGAGAAGTATTATTTTAGAAGGTACAAAGAAAAATTCGCAAAGTCGGCTAGTTCGTTCCATGGTTTAGTTGGCATAGCATCTGGTACAGTTTGTTGAAAGACGTTAACTTGAATTCAACCAGATCAAAGGAATTTTTTCCAAGTGTTCGATTTTTATAACAAACTATGCTCCGTCCAACCATTTATTTAACTTTTGACATATCGTCGCCATACTTTCTCAAACCCGTATCTTAAAAAGCAAAGTAACTGAAACGCAAAAAATGGATTGTATATACAAATTTTGCAGGCTGATTTCGCATCACATTTCCTTCATATTCACACACTGGCTTTTACCTATTCTTAAAGTAATACATCCAAATTAACAGCCTTGATAAGAAATTTAAAATAAATAGAAATTCTTCCCATCTCCTGAATAATTAATCTTTATAAGATAAGTGTTTGAGAAAGAAAGGCGTCGATATGCATGCTTCTGAAATTTCGTAATTATTAACATACAACCGTAGACAAAAATGCAATACTTCCTGGATTCTTTTATTTTTAATTTTAGTGAAGCGGCGTGCTCTTTAGCTCGGTTAATTCGACCCCTCCTACGTAAAGTATCGTATGTCAAAATTGCCAAGTTTACAGGGGAGCGTTTTCAACTTCTGAATTCACTGAAATAAGCATAATACGTGACTTTAGCATTTCTCAGTTTTATTCGGCAAAGCTTGTTACTCACACAGAGTATTATACAATTCTAGATATCGGTTAGATGATCTATTAGACGATCACTCTATGTGAGTAACGAGTGAATTCAGAACTCTCAAATACTCCCCTGTAAACTTGGCAATTTCGACATACGATCCTTTACGTAGGAGGGGTCGAATTATCGAGCCAACAGATTATGTAACCAAGATTATTCAAGTTGATAAATTTTGGTATGTACCTGTCCAATAAATTATAATGAAATGAAGTAAATTATAATCTAAATATAATATAAATCTATCAGGGCTCTCACCTGCAAAGAGTTGGTGCAGACGTCCAAGTCATGATGCATAAGGGTAAAGGAGTCGTAGGGCTCCTGCGTTTGCGCCCAGCAGGCGCCGCCGCTGCGCGTCGTCTCCGCCTCCTCATGCGAGATGTAGTAGAACTCCATAGCGCAGCGGGAAACTATTCTTTGCAACTAAAAAAACAGAATAGACAGAACAATCAGAAAATCAGAACAGACTCTGACACGGGCCGGGTGGTAAAGAAAGGGAAAGCCCACCTGCGCGAGGCCGGCGTCGGCGCTGGGCCCCACAGTGCGGCCGATGACCCCGCCGGCCGAGTGGCCGCTGCCTACCAGCCGCGGCACGTCGGGCAGGGTGCTGATCTCGGCGCTGGCCCAGCGCTCCTCGATCTCCTCCACCGACACCCACTGGATGTTCTCTGCGCGAGTGAAGGGCACAGATCGTACGTCAAATAAAGACTAACTGCGGGCCAAGTTATCGAGTTATCGAAATTCTCCTATGTGTTTTTGTTAAATATCTTTGTACTGGATTTTTCGGGATTCTGAAGAAGTGAAGTGTTTATAAAATTTGTATAATTGATTAAACGTTTAGTTCAGTTATTTCTATTTTTTTTTTTAAAGCATTATAATGCGTGTTACTGAGAACGTACCGCGTGCTCGACTTACGCACAGAATATTGTTACAGGACATAAAGCGGAAGCCAAAGAGGCTCACCGTCGAGCTGGTCCTTGTCGCCGGCGCTGACGGTGGCGTAGTACTGCATGGCGGACAGCGCGCCGCTCCAGGCCGTGGCGGCCGGCGCCTTGCGCACGCGCTGGCGCACCTCGGCGCGCGCCGCGCACAGGATCACGTAGCCGCGCGTCTCGCAGCCCTTCAGCACCACTTGCGAGTTCACCAGCTCGACTGTTCCGGCGAACAGGCCAATGTCTTATCAGTGGCTGCGGACGTCGACTCGGACGTTATTTCTTTATTTGGCACGTTTTCTTCAAACATTCGGATAAACGAAAGTACTTTGAAATTCTTTTCTGTTATTTAATTGTTTTGCATTTTTTATATTTTCTTCGCGAAAGTGAGTTCTAGTGAGAAGAGCGAAAATTCGATCATGGACTGTACTCCGCTTAATTTAAAACAAAAAGCTGAATTTGTCATGGAAATCTTTATATACTTTTTTTAATATATTATACATTCTCCTATAATAATAAAAAAATAATAATAAAAATCTTTATTGCATTTCAAAAATTATAGTACAATGAACATGGTTGGAGCCCTCTAGTAAGTAAAATGTACCTGTGTCAGAGGACTCCGCTCCTCCATAAATAGAACTTCAGATACAATTTTTAAAATTACAATTAGAAATTGGTTAGTAATTTAAAAAAAAAAAACAAATGCTTAGTTGTTAATGTTAGTTGGTACAAATGGGTACTTGTTTATTTTACTATTTAGGTTTGAATTCTCCAACTTTACCAATTACGGGTTAGAAGGAACTTATTAAAAATGTATGTGTGTCGTATGTGAGCGTGTGTGTGTGTATGTGTTATTCTCCTGCATTATTTAGTCTTTTATTATTTCGTTGCGTTGAGATAAACACTATATATATACCTCGGCAGAAGCAGGAATTGCCCGAGTTTAAACTCAAAGTCATCTGGCAATCCTTCACTTCCCGACCTCTGCAATGTACTATTTTTTGGAAGAAGTCAGTTTACTGTCAAGGGCGAGGTCGCTGGACTCACTGAGGCAGGCCGTGTGCGCGTTGTCGTCGTCCAGCACGTGGCGCGGGTGCGGCGCGTGCGCCGTCTGCTCGGCGTCGGCGCCGCCCAGCTCGTCGCTGAACACCACGGGCGCCTCGCCGCCCGCCTCGGCCACCAGCGCCAGCAGCATGCCTTCCGCGCCGGCACCGGGGCCGCTGCCCTGGAATCGGACCCGTTCGGCTGATTTCAGCTCACGAATTATGGGATCTGAACACCGAACCGTTCATTTCTTCTCACTTGAGTGGAAGCGGAAGGCGGCGGTGAGACGACGTCGGACTCCCTCTGGTGCTTCGGCGAAGTCGCCGGCTTCTCTTCCTCTTTCAGCGCTTTGGTCGATAGATTCTTCTTCAGTTGCTGCAAAGTACACAAATATCTCAACAAAAATATCAACTTCCCGGCTCACACTAAGGTAAAAACCACAGACATATAGATATATGTCTGTGGTTTTTACCTTAGTGTGTTTACCTTAGTTTATCCAGATGGATAGACGGCGCAAGTGTACGTACTTCGCGTGCCCAAAGTAAGTGAAACTCACTTACTTGCCGCTGCTACACTTCAGAACGCGCTCGACCGTTATCGTAGATAAACACCAGTAGAAAACGCGAAAAACGCATAAACGCAAAAGCACCATAATTGTGGGTAAACGGGTAAACAGAGACGTTTCCTTCCACGGGCAAGTGATTTTGTAATCAGAAGATGTATAATTTATTATCAAAACAATTATTTTGATTTTTAATGAATTTCGAGATGCCTCCTGATTTGTAGAGCCTCATGATTTGTAATACATTACGGCTTTTACTTCGTGCGATATATTTGTGATCCTTTGTTAATACGCCATGAATATCGAACGAGCGCACTTGCATTCAGTTTCCGTGGTACGGCCGCTTGTAAATTTCTTTGGCCAAATTTAACATTTAGTGATGTATACGTTAGGCAACACTGTTCTCGATTCTGATCGATTTTGAAAACAAAGGGACGAAAATTATTATGCCCTTAGCAATATTATAAAAATATTCTATAACTCTTTTGTTATAACGTTTAGTAACGTTTCGTTGTTTTTTCAGTTTTGTAGTATCTATTACCAACAGTATCTTTAATTTCGATAATTTTTGCAGCACGTTGCCTCGAATATCCGAATATAGTGAGCAAATAATTACATACATCGCCGGATATCTAGTACGAGTGATACAAAAAAATATATAATGCAAAGAATTAACAGTGCGCTGTCTTTACAAAAATCTGGAGTTGGTCATACGTATGAGTTCGTTGCTTCCGAGGACGAAGGTGGTCTAGTTTATCCCACCTAAGATGCTATCCAAATATGCAGAGAAGCAGAGTTAGAAATCCGAGAAATAATAAAGAAATAACAAAAAAATCACACGAGGCCATCATTAAGTAAACCTCTTCTGCAACACAAGCACTGGAAATACGACCCTAATGGCAGGGACTTAGTATGATTTCGAGTGCTTTAAACCATACTCAGATCCTGACTTGAGCATTGAGTAGAGTTCTAGAATACGACCCTTAGTTGCCGCTTCTACGCTTCAGAACAAGGACGAAGGTGTTCTATTTTATCCCACCAAAGATGCTATCCAAATATGCAGAGTAGCAGAATTAGAAATCCTAGAAATCCGAGAAATCATGATCAAATGACAAAAACTTTTACAATGTCGGCCTCTTCTTTCGGTCGGTTACTTAAGTAAACCTCTTGTGATTAGTAAGATTTTGGATATTTTGTCAGCAGTAACATTTTCAGTTGTCTTGCCATTCACCAATTTGATCAATCACCGACGGAAAACCATCTAGTAAAAATTAAGGCAGTTGCAAGTTCGTATCTTGACGTGGGTTTTCATTATTCAAGCCAATCGATAAGATCTTTTATTACAAAAAGACAGTATATACTTGGTACTTGTGTAACGGGCTGGTGTCCGCAACTCGACAACAAGGCGCCTATTTTGCGTGTGGAAGACAGTATATAATAAACTTATATTATTTCAAGGACAATAATTGTAATATTTGAAGTTGATAAAAAATTAAAGTTTAAATTATTAAGTAATCAAATTTTTTTTAAAAACAACTTTTAATAAAGGACGTAACTATATTGTTTTGGTATTTTTCTACTATATTAATATTTCACGACTACTTGTAATGAACGAATACTTGAATAGATAGTTCTTGTGACGTCATGGTGGATACATAAAATGTGCCACGCTCGGTTTTCATACAAATTGCTGTACTTGCGGCGTCTATCTAGATATCTGTCTGTGGTAAAAACGGAGATCCGCAGTACAACACACGCGAATAACAAATCACAAATTGATAATTTATTCCAGTATTCAGAAGGTTGTTACCAACAAATTTTAATATAATTTTTTATTGAATAAAAAACATCTTTGAATACTGTTTTCTTTGATATAATTTTATGTTACTACGTCAACTATTGTTATTCATCTCAGTAACGATCATAATTATTCCTGGACATTGTGTTTTAAATTGTAATATTGTAGCATTGACAATAATATAGAGATATATAAGAATATTAAATAAAGTATTATTTTCTATTTTACTTTAATTTTATTTAAACAGAGAAAAATTGGAAAATGATTAGCGACACATTTGCCATGTAAGAAACAATGTTTCGTTCGTATTATCACCAGCCTGTTATACGTCCCATTACTGGACACGGATCTCCTGTAAGGAGGTTTAACCCATATTTCGCTACGCTGACCTAATATGGTAAAACTACATAGATTTTCCAAGAGCTGTGCACATTCTACGACGTAATTTTACCACGATATCTTCCTTCGCCGTTAACAAAAGGTGCTTGTGCATAACTTAGAAATAATGATCATAGATACATGCCGCCACATGGATTCGAACCGACGACCTGTTAATTGAAAAACAACCGTTTTGCCACTGGGCTTCATTTACTTACTAATTTAGCGTTATTAGATGGTATATACAATTTTTATTGTCCAACAGTTTATTTTGAGATTATTGGCTTTACTTAAGACTATTCTAAGAGGGTGACGGTCTGGTGAGCTGTAATACATGTTAGGTGCCTAGTACAAGCCTAGTAAGTGTATATTTCCTTATGTTGAGAAAATAAACCATTATATTATTTACTGTGTCAAGAAATCTCACCTGAGTTTTAATGTAGGTGTCGATAAGAGCGAACGCCAAGTCCCTGTTGAGTTTGGTCCAGGCGCCGCGCAAATCGTGGACGGCCAGGCGATGCGTGGGCGCCGGCGCGGTGCCGCCGCTAGCCTCGCGGCCGTAAGACACTCGGCGTACGGAGAGGCAGTAGCACTTCTCCATAGCTACCGAGTTTGAGTCTATGGGGTTCTGAAAATTGCCCGGGTAAATTATGAACGAAAGGCTCGCAAGATAGATCGATTCATCCGAAGAACAGAGTCCGATGTGATTATATAGCGAAAAGAGGATGTGATTATATAGCGAAAAGAGGATGTGATTATATAGCGAAAAGAGAACAAGTTACGAGAATAATTTCCTTATACAAACTAAGGCCTATGTAAAGGTGTTTTGAGAATTTATATTTCATTTCACTTGTTTCATTTCGGAAATATAAAATCGAACAACGGTCTATCTGACATCTACAGCGAAGAAGAACGAACGAAATGTACTATGTCCTGAGAACAAGTAGTCAAGCATATAGACCTTTGTTGTACGGATGAGTCGAGACTTAAAACCTTTTTTTACTGACGTCACTAAGAATGCCGCCGATACCGAGAAATACAAAGTAAACCGAATTGTAAGTTCATGGCATCTATACCTTATTTTATCAATAAAATTAAGACATCTTGACATGAATACTTCTTAATTTCTTCTCGATATTCTCGATATATTTCTTAAAATCCAAACTAATATGTAATATAAATGGCAAAGTAACTCTGTATAGTAGATAACTGTATATTAGTTTACATATACTATACAGTTATTAGACAACTGTATAGTAAATAACTGTATATTACTAAACCGCTGAACCAGTATTGATCAATTGGTATGAAGGTAGATGAGACCTAGGAGAAGGACATGGGCTACTTAATATCGCGCAATAGGTACTTTACACATACTAAAGATTTTTTATAGTAACTGAAGAAAATAAAACATGTTTACTATACAATATACATTTTTCAAATGGCTGTAATTTCAGTTGTAAAAAAATTAATTCTGAAATAAAGCCTGCTAAAGTCTGCCGCTCGACCCAAATTAAAATGAACCGTATTAGTACGGGAAAAATTTGAACTCAACCACACGCAAAATAGGCGCTTTGTCGTCGAGTTGCGGATACCAGCCCGTTGCACCAAGTACCAAGTACGTATCTTCTATTGAAGTTTTTTAAAACGTTGGAAGAACGTTTAACTACAATCTGACCCGATATTAAGCAACGATGTACTTGTTCACCTGTAACTTTTTCCGTGTAGTCCTATGAAAGGTTTTTGTTTAATTGACGACAAACACTGTTAATTAAAACAATAAAAGGCCTTGCACATTTTAAGTAAAAATCTTGTATATTATGGCCTTTAACCCAACAATTACATGCTATACTTTGGTAGCGGTAGAGCTTCTTGTGAAAGAGTTCGTCCTGGGAACTACTGCCACCTTATTTACCACCCTATTTCTGCCGCCAAGCAGTAATGTGAGGATTATTTATTTATTATTATATTATATTATATTATTATATTACTACGTTCTAGTTTAGAAGGGTAAAGGCGCAGGTGACATTACAGGTACATGAGAATTGTCAACTTATGTCTCGCGGTGACGGCCGCAGTGGCAATGCCCCTAAGATCTTTGCGATTTAAAGCTCTGAATGGCACTTCAACTGTTGTGGATAAGCGTGTCGGTTACCACCAGGCGCACGACTTGTTCGTCCCGTCACTAGGTACAATAAAAAAAGACGAAAACACCAACCTCGTTGTCCTTAAATTCTCCATCCAACCCCAAACTCTCACTATCTCCATTAACGGTCAATTTGTCATCAAGATTTTGCGCAGGAGTTTTCAACCATATCTGCGCGTCATTTAGATCGCAATTCATATACACGGTGGTCCAGTTGGCTCGTGGCCGTCGAATAAGTCCATCCGTGGTTGGTACAAGGATTAGACGGTGTTTGGAGCCACATGTGACGCGAGCACCGAGCATTTCTATGCCACGCTGTTTCGATGATGAAGACCAGTAGCATACCTAAAGAAGGTGAACAATTTCACTGCATAAAAATAGACACATAGACAACCACAAATTCACGAGAGAAACAAAAGTAGGCCATATAAATATTTCTCCCTACCCAGGAATCGAACCAGGGACTTAAGCGTGGCAAAGCAGCATGGAACTGTTCGCCCACGGCAGTTAAATCTATTGAAAGTTGCTTCTTAATTAGGCAAATTTTAGTATTAATAAAAGCGAAATGACCCAGATATAAAAGTTCTTTGTTAACTGGGCAAGTTATACCAAAGTATGACAATTTACACATACCTGTAGATTGTGCAAAGTCAAAGAGACGCTGACATTGCGATAGTGGCGCGACAGCTGCGGTTTGCGCGGGCGCACGTTGTTGAACACGCGACCGCGACGCGTCGGGCGCGTGATGCCGGAGAGGATCAGCTTTAGGCTCTCGAACCATCTACACAAATTACGCGGCGTATCGTATCAGCTGAAAGTTATATTGCTGAACATTCCAAAACAACTTGGACATAAGAACCGGGAGTAGATGTTTAAAGAACACGTGCTGTCGACGAAAAAGCTACATTAAAAAATGTTGTTTAACTAGATATTTATACTGTTTTTTTAAGGACGGAGTAAAATGACAGTTCATAGCGCAAAAGTGTTGCCCGCTTGCAAGTAGCTAGTGATTGCAGTCGACAAATATTTTATCGACTATCGATTGAATGTTGGTTATTCGTCCAACTGTTGGGCACAGGGTCACTTGAATTGTCAAAATTATAAAATTGACACATACTCTACATTTAGAACTATGTCTATTGAAAATACAAGGAGGAGACATATTTTAAAGTTTTCATTTTAATTTAATATACATAATAAAATCCGCCTGCTTTATTAAATGTACATGAATAAAAATTGATTACGGTACTAGTAGAGCAACTGTCAAAATAAGAATAAAGAAGCCAATAACGCAATTAGTAACCATTACAACGTCGACGAACATTCACAATTCAGACATTTTTGGCAAAATTTTATCGAATTTCACAATCTATCGATAAAATTATGGACAACAACTACATGACTATTAAAACTTCATGAAAACTGGCAACCCGGCAAATCGACCCCTCCTACGTAAAGTATCGTATGTCGAAATTGCCAAGTTTACAGGGAAGCATTTTAATTCTGAATTCACTGAAATGAACATAACACGTGACTTTAGCAATTCTCAGTTGCTGAATAGTAAAGCTCGTTACTCACATAGAGTATTATAAAATACTAGATATCGGTTAGATGATCTATGGTGATCATTCTTTCAGTGAATTCAGAACTTTAAAATGCTCCGCTGTAAACTTGGCAATTTCAACATACGATACTTTACGTAGGAGGGGTCGAAATATCATTTTACTCCGTCTTCAAAAAACACGGACTATAAGCTTACCTGAGAGTGCTCCCAAAGAGCAACAGGTCTGGGCCATCATGATCCATGGGTTTGGTGTCCATGCTCAAATGCAGATCAAGACTTTGTGAACGGAATGCTCTGTAGGAGTCGTGTTCCTATGACAAAAAACAATTAGCTTGAGCTAATTTCATACGTACATACGTGTACTTATCCGTGTCCTTTTGAGGAAAGCTGCCCGCCAAAAATTCGGACCTCCAATAGGAAGGTTCCGAGGTGGAATGCAAAACTGAGAAAGTTAAGAGAGAAAACTCGAAGGCTCTTCAATAGGGTCAAACTAACAAAGGAATGCGAGACCGACAAGAAGGCCCTAACTAACTATAAGAAGGAGATAAGGAAGTCCAAGCGCTAATCCAGCAACGACGCTACATTCACCTCGCATTGAAGACTGAAACAGAGCCGCCAACATAATAAGACCCCGACAAGTGACTTGGGCCATAAGCTCGTTTAAATCGTACAAATCCCCTGGTGAGGACAGTATTACTCCCATCTTACTGCAGCAAGGCATAAGTGTACTCTTGCCAAACATATCGATGCAATAGACATCGCGTAAAGTTGTATTTATACCGAAGGTAGGCAGAAAGGACTACTCTCTTGCTAAGTCCTTTAGACCCATCTGCCTAACCTCAATTTTGCTTAAGGCAATGGAGAAGGTACTTGACAATCACATGAGGGCTTCGTCCTTAATATATAGTCCTATCCATCACACTCAACACGCCTATCAGAGTGGAAAGTCCACAGAGACAGCTTTGCTCCACCTTGTGGACAGGGTTGAAAGAGCGTTTGAGGACAAACAAATAGCACTGTGTGCCTTTCTAGTCATTGAGGGTGCATTTGACAATACACCCATCCAAACTCTGGTGAAGGGCGTAACCTGCAAAGGTGTGGATACTTCAACCACGAGAGGGGTACAGAACATGCTTTTAAGCCGCAGGGCCAGTATCTCGTTACATGGGGACCGGCTTGCGGCCTCCACAGTAAGGGGTTGCCCGCAAGATGGGGTAATTTCTCCTCTCCTGTGGACTCTTGCTGTGGATCAGCTCCTGTATAGGTTGGCTGAACTGAATATTAACGCTCAGGGTTATGCGTATGACCTGGTGATCACAGTTCAAGGGCACTGCCAAAGTACTATATCATCAATTATGCAAAGAACACTTGACACCATTACCGCGTGGTGTCAAGATAACGAATTATCAATCAATGCGGAAAAGACAACCATTGTCCCCTTCACCAGGAGACGGAAACTAGACAAACTAGTGGAACCAATTCTTGGTGGCAGGGCTGTGGGCTTTTCCGCAGAAGTCAAATATCTAGGGATAACTCTAGATCAAACCCTAAGGTGGAACCACCATATAGCTAACACGATCAACAAGGCCAAAATGGCCTATGGCCACTAAGATAGCCGTATGGCGGGACAGCGTTGGGGTCAGTGATGACCAGATCACCATTCAGATCAGTCAATGGTCGCAGTGATGAGGGGTTGCATAGGCCCTGAATAAAGCCACCCTAATAATAATAATAATAATAATAGTAATAGAAAAAAGTAATAGAGTCTAAAATAAATATAATATATGTATTACGTTGCAGTACAAGCTATTTGTACCCTTTAATAATACATTGTGTATTAAGGACGGCAAATAAGAAAACACGAACATTAGAAGCCCGAAGCCGAAGGCTGAGGGCTTGAATAACTCGAGTTTTGTATTTTTTTACCGTCCGTGATACATAGTGTTTTTCATCACATTTGCGAGGAAACAAATACAATATTTATTTTTTGTACAACTAAATATAGTTCACAACACAATAATTATGGATTTTGCAAATGGGGGGTTTTTTGTTTATTTTATTTTTTTTGTCAACAGTAGGCCAGCTAGCTATTCTTCCATAGATGATACAACTCAAACTAAAATGTTGTAAATAGCAAAGACGCATACAGCCATGACGGACTGTAAAAAAATGTTAAATTTTTATACAGAAAATAATTAAAATCAATTATAAGAAATTCTTAATAATAAGTATTTAAGTAGTATGTGGCTGAATGACAATTAATTTTCTGTTTAGATAACATTTTAAGCGAATGTTTAATTTTGAACTTAAGTAACCTCAAATTACATACTTTATTAATACAATTTAAAAAAACTCCTTACCGACTATGGCTGTGATAGGAAGAAAAAAGGTCAAGGGTTTTATTTGGCATTATAGTCAAGTTAGCCACCTTGCAATCATACTATTTACGAGCAAGTGTGATGAAAAATTTGCTAGGATCACCTGGTTGCCGCAACCCAACAGCTCGAGTTGTGCTCACCTGGTTGCTGGAGTACTCCGGCAGGCGCGTGGGCGCGCAGGGGGCCACGGCGTGGTGGTCCCGCGGGTCGCCCACGCACTGCCAGCCCAACTTCACGGACAGGCGCAGCGAGGGCACCCGCAGGACGCGGCAGTCGTCGTACTTGCTCGCTGTTCTCACGAACACGTTCAGTTCGCCAAGGAAGCCGAGCTTGCCTGTCCGAACAATGCAGTATTTCGAGTCTTTGAGAGTTCTGGTCGAGAACTTCGAGTAATCGTACAGGTGTGACGTCATTTCAGTTCGGTTTCGAATACGGCAGTTTGACGTTCGATTCGGGTGTTGTGAATAAAAATGAAAAGAAATCGGTCGACAACCTAGTTATCGTAAGGTATCGTAATCGACCCCCAGGTCTTACCATTAGTCCAATCCAGCACAAGATCAGTCCAAGTAACCTCCATCTCTTCTGTAGTATTATACGGGTCCAGAGACACATGAAGTAGGCAGGTGAACTTCGCACAGTTAGCAGTTAATCTCCCGTGCATCAACAAACGGACTTTATCCCACCATGCCAGTGGCGCTGAAGGGTCCAGCGATGGCCTTGAGACTTGGTCGAAAGCTGGAATATAAGGGAATATTAATTATCGAAAAAAGAGCTTTAGCAAAACAGCTTGGTGAATATGGAATCTACCTCGTATACACGTCATCGCCTGTTTCGCATGTCTTTTACGCAACAAGACGCAATGTATAAAGATAATTTTCCACAGCGACCACAAGTGCAAACAAATTGACGATTGCAATAAAAGAGTAACCTAGTTAGGGTATACTGGTGTTAAAATGTGGTCATTCTTGTAGTACAAATTTGACCACATTTTGTTTCCCCAAAAATGTATGACTTTCGCTATTCTCAGTTTTATTCGGAAAAGCTAGTTAGTCACATAGAGTATTGTAAAATCCTAGATATCGATTGGATGAACAAACACAATTTATTTTATAATTTTATACTATATAACGCGGATGAGCGTCCACAAGCAGGTAAACTAAAGTGAGACTGGACGGGTCGGGTGACAGTATAGAATTATAAAATACACTGTGATTGTTCATGTAACCGATATCTAGGATTTTACAATACTTTATGTGACTACGTAGTTTTTCCGAATAAAACTGAGAAATGCGAAAGTCGCATGCGAAAGTCGCGTGTTATGCTCATTTCACTGAATACAAAACTTTAAAACGCTCCTCTGTAAACTTGGCAATTAAAGTAGGAGGGGTCGATTTGTGGCCATGAATTCTCGCCTTAAAACATGAGTGCCAGTCTTTTAGATCAGCGCGACCCGGTATCGTGCCATCAAAATAAAATACTGGGTCGCAACATTCCCGCCTTGTTTCAAAATAATACCTACTATCGATCGACGCATCGTACGAGTAAGTATTCGTTAACGGCGCCTGACAACTGACTGACATGAGAGCACCAGCAAGAACGACAGCCGAAGAAATACTAACACTTTAGAACTTGATTAATGATTCTATCAACAAAAATAACATTATTTTACTTAATGTAACCAGCTTGGGTTTTAAAGTATTGAGTAGGTCACGAAGAAGCAGTATGAAAATTACCGGGCCGTGGGAGAACAATGTTTAGGAAACACTGTTCTAGATTAATCCTATAGTTACTTTGAACGACACCACCGCAAGAACGTGTCAGACGACTTACCAAGGTTGCAATGCGCAATTACAGGCTCCCAACAAGGCCCGAATGAGTAGCTGTACTCGTACATTTCGCAACAAAGATCATAGTACCACTTGAGTGGCATCATGCTTCGCTCCAATTCTTGCTCGCCCCATGGGGAACCTTGATCTATTAGCACTGTTCGGACGGCTAGAATGAAAAAAAAACAGTGAGTAAATTATACTTATATGGTTCGTAATAAAGTAGATAATTGTGTAACCAGACTAATACCCCAAAAGTAAAGTAGTTCCGCCACTTATTGACCTTCTAAAGATTTGACGCACGTCAAATTTCGTAGCTGTCTAAGAACGACACCACGGAAAGTAGTACGAATATCTACCAAGCCACATAATGGCCACGAGCAGGCTGAGGCTTCGGATTTGCACTTTTGAGTGCAAATCCGAATAATGCAGGGGAACCCGAAAATTGTCTACTAGTGCGATGTATGATGACAAATTTAGTTCCTGCTTGGGAACTGCTTCAGCCTACAAAATAGGACATCACATCGTGAGACGATGTGATGTCCTATTTATTATTATTATTAGGACGCGTTCCAACAAATTGTCGTGCAGTTTAAAGTGTCGTGACTTGTATATTTAAATGAAGTTGTTCACATATAGAACAATACGATTAATTGTCGTTCACGACTTTTTTGACGTTACGACGACATACTGTCGTGACAATGGGAAGAGCTAAAACGACAGTCGTCTGACGAGAAATAAAATGTTATGATAAAAATGTGACAGACAATCGCAGCTTCAAATGAATCTGTCGAGAAAAAGACACAGCGGTTGCCGTCAACCGATAAATTGTCGTAGAACGATAAAATAAACGTCCACGACACAGTCACGACAGACATTAGCTGTAGAGCTCCCTGTGAAAGAGTTCGTCCAGGGAAGTACTGCCACCTTACCTATTTCTGCCGCCAAGCAGTAATGTCAGCTTTACTGTGTTCAGGTTTTGAAGGGTAAGGGTACTGGTAAAATTGTACAGGCACATGGGACATGTCAACTTATGTCTCAGGGTGACGGGCGCAGTGGCAATGCCCCTCAGATCTTTGCGATTTAAAGCTCTGAGGACACTGCAATTGTTATGGACAGGCGTGTAGCTTACCATATATCTCGACTTGTTCGTCCCGGCACTTGATATGACACAAAAAAAAAAGGTTACGACATAGAATATTTTCGCAATGAGCAAGGTGACTAGCCGTTCTGGGTGACTCACCTCTAGGTGGAGGCATCTCTTCCGCAGCCAACACAGTGCCCCACATGCGCAGCTCGCTCATGTTGAGCAGCGGCTGCGG